CCAGTCTGTCTTAGACACCCTGGGCTCCGGGCTGTTACCTGAATTGTCCTTTCCCCAAGCTGGGCTGCTGCTTCCCATCTCTCAGGTGTCTTCTTGGACACCACGTCCTCAAAAAGGAGTATTTTACTCCAATGCTCAGGCCATCTTTGGTGGGTTCTGAGCAGCGGTGACCAGGGATTGCCAGTGTGCTGCGGGGTCCCACTGACCCCATCCATCTCCCAGCCTCGTCTTCACAGCCGTTCTCTGTAGAGATGGGGGCAGTGGTTGAGGGGTGCTTTCCATAGAATACAGAGCCAAAGCCCTAAACAAGAGTCCCCCCACCCCCGAACCTCCCAAAGCCGGGGCTCAGCACTCCTGGGGGAGGGAGGGGTCTGTCGAGTACAGGAGAGGATTAGATAAGGCAGAATCACAAATGCATAGAACTCTCCCTCTACAGTCTCAGCGTCCCTGGGGCACATCTGACCCCATCAGGCAGGAAGTCTCCACATGGTGAGAGCACACCTTTAACCTCTCCTGAACCCTTTCTAACCTCTCTTCTCACCTTTGATAAGTAAATCTACCCAGAATGGAATACATTTTACTTCTTGTATAGCTCTCTTTTATATATGGACACTGATTTTCTGTATAAGGCAATGATATCCACTTCCCTTTGTAAAGAAATTAGAGAAGTTGATTAAACAATTTTTTTAAAATTTATTTTTGATCTGGGTGTCTCAGGTGGAACATGTTGCCCAGGTTGGTCTCAGATGCCTGGGCTCAAGCAATCCTCCTGCTTCAGCCTCAGGGACTACAGGCTCATGCCTTTATGCCCAGCAGAAGTTGATTTTATGACTATGAAATTGATAGAAACCCGGGCGGTTCAGGGATGCGGCAATATCAGAACAAAGTCTATGTACTGGGTTCAGGTCTGCAGATTAGGTCCTGGCATCACTTGGTTGGAACTGCAGACTGCAGTCCTGCTCTCCCCACAGGCTGGAGCGACCTGGGGTCAACTGTTAGCCAGTGGGACTCACTCTCTTGCCTCCTTGCCGGGGCTCAGCCAATGGCTCCCTGCCACCTGTGATCTGTCAACACAGCTCTGAGGAACCTCTTCAGTCCTGCTTCTTAGAGTGCAACGGGGTCCTGACTGCACCCTGCTGTGGGGTGGTTCACCTTCCGAAAGCACCAGACTTTTTGAAGAAAAGCAATTTAATGGCTATTTAAAGCAGTATTTTTAGATGAAAAGATGTGGAGCAGAATGCAACATTCACATGCAGCTTAACCTAAAATTCCAAGCTTTAAACTCTGCCCCTGGATCCCTGGGGGGTCCACATGCTGTGTCCTCTAGCTTTGGGGATATGTTGGTGGACAACTTGAGACACTGTCCACCAGTGCAAATGGCGCTGTGGTTTTCTGTTCCTAGGGCCAGGCTGGAAAACTCTGAAAATAACAAATGCATAAAGCACTTGGCAGGGCCGGGCACGGTAGCTCACACCTATAATCCCGGCACTTTGGGAGGCCGAGGCAGACGGATCACTTGAGCCCAGGAGTGTGAGACCATCCTGGGTGACATGGTGACACCCCATCTCTACTAACAACAACAATAACAACAACAAAAACTTAGCTGGGCGTGGTTGCTCACACCTGTAATCTCAGCACATTGGGAGACTGAGGCGGGCGGATCACTTGAGTCCAGCAGTTCAAGACCAGCCTGGGCAACATGATGAAACCCCATCTCTAATAACAAAAAACAAAAACAAAAACAAAAACAATGAAAAAAACTTAGCTGGGCATGGTGGCTCACGCCTGTAATCCCAGCACTTTGGGAGGCCGAGGCAGGTGGATCACTTGAGCCCAGCAGCTCGAGACCAGTCTGGGCCACATGGTGAAATACTCTCTGACAACAACAACAACAACAACAACAAAATAGCTGGGCGTGGTGGTGCACGCCTGTAGTTCCAGCTACTTGGGAGGCTGAGGTAGATCACTTGAGCCTGGGAAGTTGAGGCTGCAGTGAGCTGAGATTGAGCCACTGTACTCCAACCTGGGCGACAGAGTGACACTGTCTTAAAGCAGAATAAAGCTTTTTTAAAAAGTGCCTGGCATGTAGAGAACCCTTAGCACACCAGTGTCGTTACTCTCCCTTCCCTTGGACCGTGTAAATACCTATTCAGGTCAAGTTCCACCAGGGCTGAAGGCCTGGTCTCTGTCAACATCCATGTGGGTTCCAGTTCAGGCTCTTGTTCAGAGACACCCCTCTGCACATTTGGAATCAAAGGATCAGCAGGAAAAGATCTGAACTTTGGAGAAGAGGGAAAACCAATTAAGTCCCAACGCATGGAAATGATGCCTTAGCCAAAAGTTAAGACGGCTTGCTCAGTGCAACCTCCATTTGTCATCCTCCCAACTTTTTGAGACTGGGTCTCAGTATATTGCCCAAGCTGGTCTCGAACTCCTGAGCTCAAGTGATCCTCCCACCTCAGCCTCCCGAAGTGCTAGGATGATGTGCATGAGACCACCATGCCTGGCCATCCCTCAGTCTTGATGCAAATACTCCTCCTTCATCTCAGTCCCTACCTTCATGCTGTTCAACCTGAATCTGATCCTCTGGGTCAAGGACCCCACTTTGACCTTAGCATCATTCCCCGGTTCATCCACCTGCACAAGCCAACAGCATGGCCCTACCACAGTCTCGTGTCCTCAGGTGTCAACAGGTGACAGCTCAGCTATTATTCCTTGCAATATTCAGCCACTATCATCGATCTGAGAAGGTGGATTACAAAGACTAGTGAGAGCCTATTCAGCATGTGGTGGCCTAGCACAGTTCCTTGAAATGACGGAAGGAGCTATTTAACTCTTGACTGGGGAAGGAAGTCCAGGGCAAGCTATCCTCCAGCCTTTGAGGGTGGAAAGCATAGCACTGTGGAGAAGCTGAGGTTCATCAGAGCTGGGAACACACCCAGGGGAGCAGAACAAGGAGGGATATTTGAAAATGTATAAATGCCTGTGAGGCCAGGCGCAGCGGCTCACGCCTGTAATCCCAGTACTTTGGGAGGCTGAGATGGGCAGATCGCTTGAGCTTAGGAGTTTGAGACCAGCCTGAGCAACACGGTGAAACCCCATCTCTATTAAAAATACAAAACTTAGCCGGATTCGGTGGTAGGTGCCTGTAATCCCAGCTACTTGAAAGGCTGAGGGACGAGAATCCTTTGAGCCTGGGAGGCGGAGGTTACAGTGAGCCGAGATCCAAAGTGAAACCCTGTCGAAAGAAAAAAAAGAAAAAACACAGAAAGAAAAAGGAAAAAAAGAGAAAGAGAAAAGGAAGAAAGAAAAAACGCATTAAGTGCCTGTGTTAAAAAGTTTACCCCGACTCTTGGTGGCTCTGAGTGACTAGAAAGCCCCGAGTCAGGGGCCCAGCATGGTCAGCTGCAGGTCTGTGCCAGAAAAAGGGTAGCACCCAGGAACTGGCAGTCGGGATTAAGACCGAGAAGTAATGGTGGCTTAGGGAACAGAGCTGTATTTATTTAAGGACTAGGCAAAGATCCAAACCACTTTAAAAAATTTTAAATCAAACACTTTATTTCCACATAACAAGCGCAAAAAACTCCCAAACACTTTAACAATACAAGTAACGTAGTTATGAATTATATACTACTCAAAGCCCCAAGGTCAGAAGGTCAATCAGCTTAACGCTCCAAACATTTCCAGACATGGTTTTTCAAAGCTACCTTTGGTTTTTGGAAAAACCAGTATGGAAGTCAATATACATTGAACGCACTGAATAACATTTGCTTATAGTAAGGTGTCCGACAACATTAGCTTACACCTGGCAAGTTGGAGCATGATCTGAAGTCATACACTGAAATCCATACACAGGTTTCGCCCCCGAGCTCCTGCAGGGAGAAGCGAGGGCCGTGAAGGGGGAAGAAAAGGCCAGTCCGGGTGTGGCGTTTCTCGCTTTGTAACAGAGGTATGAGAGTTTAACACTAGTACACTGTCAAGTCATTAAGCTTCATGTTCCACATGGTTTCTTGCTGAGGCTTGAGATGGGCACAAATGGTGGGGAAGATGAAGTCACAGAAGAGTTTTGAGCAACAAGATCCCAAAGATGCTCAGAGAGGGTGGGAAGGAGCAAGCTACAGTTTCCCATTGTTCTCACATTATTTCAGGGTGAAATTGTGATGAGTTCAGATAAAATGTTCAAATATTTGCTTAAATTTTTAATCGGTTGCTCTATGAGAACCCTCATACATAGCAACTTTGAAACTTTCATTATAAAAAAGAGCCTACAAATAAATTCACAAAAAGGAGACAATTAATGTTGAGCAGCCAAAAAGTCATGGTTTATTATATCCGAAGAAATTTCATAATTCAAACACAACCAAACTGTACATTTTACAATCACATTCTATTTGTAAACAGTTAAAAGCCACTGACTTCTTTTGCATCTTAGGACACAAACAGTTAGAATCAAGGCAATGAAATGATGGCAAATTCTGTACTGTTAAAATTTTTACCCTTGTTTAGTCTCTCTTCTTTGACTAAGCAAGCATTATAATACCATTTGTGGGCAAAAAAAGGGGGGGAGGAAAGAAAGTTTAAAATGGTGTAACTCGTTAGTTTGCAACAACATTTAAAATTTTCTTTATACAACAAACAACTCTGTAAGCCCAATACCTTGGTTACAGTATGCATAGTTACTGATTTCGGCTTTAAGGTACAACAGTTAAACATTAACACAGTCACAAGAAAGCAGAAACATATGGAGCCACTTGATGGGATTACAAAAAATTATTACCTACTGATTATTAGCAAACCATCATCACTCACTAATAAAAAGACAGCATCTGAAAGCAGAATGTCAAACTCCAGCTTTAAGCGTTTTTTTGTTTTTTCTTTTTTCTTTTTTGGCAGAGAAAATTCTTTAACAGAGCAATATGTAGTATCAGTGCTAAAAGTTGGGGTTTTTGTTTTTTTCCTATAAGAAACTACAAGGAGTTTTTTTTTTTGTTTTTTTTTTGTTTTTTTTTTAACTGGGGAACTGGTTTTCCTGAGAACCATGCTCTTTGATTTGGGACAGGAATAGAAAAACAAAAGAACATGGCCAAATGCTGCTCCTTTTTCCCAGAGATAGAAAGCATCTTTTAAATCATCCTCCATTTTTTTTTGTCTTTTACATTTTTTTTAAATGATGGAAGAGTAAACATTTTTTTCTCAAAAAACAAACAAAAAAATCTGTAAACAAGAAGGTTCAACGTGGGAACCTCCAAAACAAAATGGAAAGCCTATTCAAAGTGCAGGGCCCGTCCTGGGTGGCAGGTGGGCTGCAAGTCACAGCTGTGGCCACAGTTTTTCAAACTGCAGAGCGAAATTCTTTAGTTTTACAACATGAAAAAACTGGTGCAACACTTTCATTAATAATCCTAAGTCAGTCCTAACTTGATCTTTTAAACTCCACGATACCACAATAAGGTAGGCAACATCAAGGCATAGTAGAGAGCGCACGCCTCCTAAGAACACCCTTGAGTAAACATTGACACTGGGACAGCTGCCCCCATACTGCCGATGAGACGGAGAGAACATCATTCAGTGCAAAGGGAAAAGCTCATACGGTATCAGCCCAAAAAATGGTTTTGCAAGAGAGAAAAAAAGGGGAGGGGAGGAGGAATAGAAGAAGAAAAAAAAAAAGAATCCAAAGGCTAAACATGATGAATAGACACAAGCGAGCTCATTCTCTACGGTTTAGCATGTATGGCGCTATTTGGGAGTGTAAATAGAGTAGATACCTTTTCACATTATAATATTGGCCTGCATGATTCAAGTATTCAAACTGATATGTTTTGGGGAAAACAAAGTGGAAAATGTGCAGAGAATAGCTGTTCCCACAGGCGGCCCCTGGCTGCAGGCGGCGAGCCCCACTTAGTGCTCCTTTCCCTCGCGTCTGAGGTCCCGGTCGGTGAGTCTGCATCTACACTGTTACATGGACTCTCCACCCCCACCCAGGTGGTCAACAGAAAGAAAAGCGTTAATGGGAGATGGGCTGCTAATTCCTCGGGGGTCGCTGCTGCTTGGAGGACCCCACAGGCTTGTGGAATAATGCGGGGTCCCCCAGAGTGAAGTGCCGTGAAGGTCTCCACAGTTAGTTCCCGACAGCCCAGCACCATTCCAGTGATTGAGATCGGTCCGGCTGGAGAATGAGTGGGAACAGTCGAGGGAGCCCAGCCGGCTCTGGCTGGACCCGAGAGACTGCCAGCCGGGAGAAGGGGTCAGAGACTGGCTTTGTGCAAAGAAACGACTGATCTCCTCTTCACTGGCAAACTCAGCAAGAATAGTAGTGTTCCCCAGTACACACCTAGAGGAGAGAGGCACCGCGGACACATGAGGACAGCGCGCCAGGAGGGCTTCATTCACTCACAAGTGAGGGTGCAACTTGTCTCTGCTGGAAAAGCCACAGAAGGCGCAGAGGGAGAGACCACACCACATAACCTGAGTGCCCTCCCTTCACCCGAGCGTGTGCGCACAGCTCTTCAGGACCTGGTGCCTTGACCAGAGCGAACTTCCTCTGTCTCCCATGGGCAATGTAAAGGACTTTCTAGGGCCATTTGGCTACGTCCGATTCCCCGCTTAGGAGTGCTGACCTTGGAATCAGGGCACTACTGCAGCCCACAGGAGCCACCCACACAGGACCCCGTGCGCTGCCCCGGGCCAGGCTGTGCTCTCACACAACTCCTTTCCCTAGACTCTTCCAGCTGGGAGCCCAACAGCCAACTTACATGTGCAGAGACTTTTGTGCCTTCACTACCTCTTCTTTTGAACTGTAGCGGACCAGAGCATTTCCGTGAGGGAGGTTCAGGTGGAATGTGATCAGTGGGCCGTGCTGCATGCACAGAGTGCGCAGAGTTGAGCCATCGATCTAGGAAACAGTGTGGAAACCACCAGTGAGAGGCATCACCGCGGACCCTCCAGGAGGCCGTTCCAGGCCGCACTGCTGCCCCTCCTCTCTTCCCTGAGGCTCTGTGCTCCTGGTACCACTCTTCATTGACACTCTGGTGTTGCTCTGACAGTGTGCAGAGCCACCTTCCCCACCTCCACTGCTCTCAGAGTCATACTGCTCCGGCCTCTAGACTCCTGGACACTCCCCAGACCCCCAATTCCTTATGAAGCACTGCCCCTGCTGTGTGGCTCCACATCTTCTCTCTTCCCTGCCCTGAGGACAGCATCCATCAAGGTTATGCTTCCTGGGGGAGGAGGGAGGTGGGAGCTCAACACCCAGCCTCCAGAGGAGGGGGCCGGCCAGGGGCTAAAAAAATGCTCTCAACTCGGGGACAGACCAGGGTTTCTCCACGTGCCAACAAGGACCACCTGCGTCAAATTCATCTTCAGGCCCTCATACAAATGCAGAGTCCCAGCTCCTAGCCCAGATCTACTGACTCAATCTCTGGACGAGGCCTGGGAATCTGTATTTTTGTTTGGTTCCCAGGCACATTACAGCGTGAACCACCAGATTCGACCACATCCTGCCTGAGGTCTACAGACCACTCCTCTGCCAGGCCTCACTACCACTTAGCAGCCCTTGTCTCACACCCAGACCTGAACCTCTGTTCCTATGCTCCCTGGCGTAGCCACATAAACCAGTGTTATCTGATATACTTACCTGAGGTGTAAGGTTTTTTAGAACAAGCCAATTTGTTATTCTCCCTGAGCTGCTCTCACCCCAGCTGGAACCTAAGCAAGGAAAAAAAGGACAAGTCAGTTTTCCAGGACTGAAAGAGTCCAACTATAGTTACTCAGCAGATCACTTGGCCTCTTGGCTTCCTTCACATCCTTGCACCTCTACACTGGAGGCTTTCTCCCTAGGCCCAGAATTCGAGTTCGCCCTAGCCATGGCGAGGCATTAACTCCCACGGCAGGGGGCTCTGCCTCTGGGGAGAGTGAGCTCAGAATGGCTCCCAGCTCGCCACACAGGAGGGCAGTGAGCCACAAAAGGCTGCATCTCTTTGAGATCTTCTCATTGACAGGAGCTAAAATCATCTCCAACGGTACCATCTGGGGAAGACTTCAGTAATGTCTGGTCACTCTGCATGTGTGTCCTTCAGGGCATGAAGCTTTAAGGGGATTCCAGAGCTTGCGATCGCACAGACGCTCCTTGTTTTCACCTGGGTTACCGCAAGGGCTCCCCATCTGGTCTCTACTCTGGATGAGTACAGCCCTCATCCCCGACCCCATCTATAACCCAAGGCACCTCACAAATGCTTCAGGTGCTGGGAAAGACCATTCCATGACACAGCTCAGGCCTATCCACCTCTCATGGAATCCTCCCCACGCCCTGCAATCCTCTCCTCATTCCAACGGGAGCCTTTGTGCTTTCTCAGGTGTCTGGGCCTTGGCAGAGGCTGCCCCTCAGATTGCTTGGCTTACTCCTACAGGTTTGCTGATTCCCCTCAACTGCACCAAGCCTCTCTGGGGTGGGCTCCTGGGCCACGTTCACTAGCACCCCTCGCTGTGTGCTGCCAGTCTCTTAGCTGGCATCCAGACAGATGTCTGTGGCCTACAAAGACCACTCACACCACACCAATTACGTTAACTTATATTCAGTAGCTTGGCATGTACTTTAGTGTTCTTTTCCTATAATTAACCCCCACCCAAAGGAAAAGCTGCAAGTTTTCCTACAGCCAGTCACCTGTCTAAAGATCAGAAATTACACATTTAATCAGAAATATCAACGAGGTTTTATTACTCATTTTCAGCTTGAAGATGGGAACGTTTGGTACAGTTTGCAGGCAAGGTAGAGTGAAAGATAAGACTGTATTTACTGGGGAAACTGCTAGGCTCATCTGGGGCTGTGTGTGTGTATGTATGGTGTGAGGACGGCACAGGCAGGAAATGATGCCAGTACAAATCCAATGTTAGTCATTTATAGAATGAGGAGAGGCAGAGGAACCAGTATGCCGGGGCCTTCTGGCTTATGCCTGTTGGCTGCATATGATTAGTCAACAGTACCCTCTTTCACTCTCAGATGTTCCCGTTTAATAGAGGCCAAGCTACTCCCCTACTCTTCAAGGCCCAGATGACCTGTTCCCATGTTCTCAGACTTGCCCAACACTGGCTTCTGCTCCATGTTATGTGTTTTTTTTCTGCCACGAGCAGGAAGTTACTACACATTTTAAGATGTAGTCTTGAGGAACTTCTGAGACAATGGAGCTTCCGGATGCATTAACATTACTGCGGCCTGTTGTTTACCTTTGGGTGGATCATTTGTTTACTGAAGTTCTCATTCCCCCTGACGGAGGTGAGGCAATAGTTTACTGTTCAGGTCTCTGTTAAACTCGACTGTTGGCACTGTTAGCATTTCACAAATAAACCACAGAAAACCACCTTAGGTACTGCATCTTACCTGGGGTATATCTGGCGTCAGAATTTCCCCATCCTCCACCTACACGAAGGGGAGAATTATCCCACGTAGACAAGGGTGGCTTCTGACCAGTCAGTCCCGGAGGTGGACGGGACGGAGCAGTGATGTTTTTAGGTGGCAAAGGGACCTTCCACAGCTCATGAGCCAGAGAGGTGTTTGTAACTGAACCAGGAGACCATGTCAATTTGGAATCACTATTTCTGGCTACTCAAAGGGGGAAAAAAATGGAGAGGGGAGGAATAATGTTTAAGAAATGAGGAAATTTAAATAATGACATCCATTATCCCACAAAAAGCAAATCTAACAAACAAAAGAAACTATTAAAACCCCCAAATCAACTAAACTGCCTAAAAAGAAAATCCGCCCAAAGGAAACTGCTTTCCATCCCTCCAAACACTCAAGCCATTCATCTGTTATTAACAGCTGTAAAGATCTATGAAATTCTTAGGCCAGTGTCCAAAACTGTACTCGAACTGAAATGGAAAACAATCTGAATTGCTCTAAAATTGCAATTGTGAACTTCTTACTAACCATAATTGAGTCACTCAAGAAAGTCAGGTAGGCCATTTAACTGAATTTTAGAAATCTGTTGTTTACTCAAGGAAAAAAGGACTGTAAAAGAGCCCCAACTTGGGAGCTGCCAAAGATCTTCACAGGATGCCTGCCTCTCTGCGCTAAGCATTGGCTGCTGGGCATCTGGCATGCGCTGTCTGTGGTCCTGACACAGTCTACTGAGGACAGACTGGGTAATTTGCCTATGGGTCTAATGTAGAGCCAGGATTCAAAACTAAGCCTGTAGGGCAAAAAAAAAAAAAAAAAAAAAAAGAAAAGAAAGAAAAAGGAAGGGAGGAAGAAAGGAAAGGAAGGAAAGAGAGAGACAGAGAAAGGAAGGAAGGAAGAAAGAAAAAGGCAGCAGGCCCAGATCCTGATGCATACTGCCTCGCAGCAATGGAGACATGAGTGGGTATGCAGGGACCAGGTATACAGTAAACTACATCAACTATCATGCTAAAAGCCTGAGGGGGACAGCAAGGAGTGGAACCATTCCTATCTTCCATCACTATCAACTCTTTTTCTTACTTCACTTACAAAGTGCGTGTGCATCAGGTCAGTGCTACTCAGGGTATGGCTGGAAGAACACCACAACACAGTTTCATACTAATCTGCTGCAGGATGAGTCCAGAAATTCAGAGTGCGCATGTATAGACAGACAGCAACCTGACACTCCTGTAGCTCTAAAGTGTGCCATTATTTTCCTAGCAATTCAGAATTCATGTTTACCATATTTTACAAAAGTATCAGTCTATGAGGATGGGCAATTTTTTTTTTTTAAGATCCTTCGCTGCAGATAGTCTGAGAACTAGTTTGGATTAAATTACATTTAATTACAGAGCTGCTGTGGCTCTGATATGAGTGAACGCTGTTAAGTAAAAACTGATTTTAGTAGATGACCGCTGGGTACAGTAAGTTTAAAAAGGAACAAGTGATGTTAAAAATAATTTCCCAGGCTCACAAACAGAATCTCCTAACTCCCTGAGAAGACTGGACAAAAGAAGAGGGCATTAAAACAACAGCCACGGCTCTGGCTGTGACCAACCCTCCCTTCCTGAGCGAAGGCGAGGCCCACCTGAAGTGCTTTGTGCTGTACTGCTGAGGGGAACGTTGTAGTTGGAGGCACGAATGGATGACCAGGCACTAGTTGAAGGCAGCGTGGTGTTCAAGGATGAGGATGACCCTGTGTCGGGGAAGAGTCCAATCAGCCACCAGAGCAAGGGACGTGGAGGTTAAGAAAAAGCAAAAGCTTCCAGAGAAATCGAAGCCTAACAGTATGCCACAAGAAAGGAAACAGGCCCACTCAGGGTAAGATGGTGCCCGAGACATCTTCCTTCTTGCCTTCAAAAGAGCATGCTGGGCAAGCTTGCCAACTGTCTCTGCCTTGGCTCAGCACAGGCATTTTCCCTCTGATTTTGTCCTCACTGGCTGTGAGGATGTGCTCTAGCAATGAGGTCCAGCCACCATGACAGCACTCGGCTCTGCTTCCCAGCACTGGGTCTAAAAGGAGGTTCGAGTCTTGGTGCTCCTAACTCGCCCCTGAGCTCCAGTGACTTCTTACTGGCTATCCTGCTCTCCAAGGCACCCCATCACAGACACTAACAGTGAACAGGCCCTTCAGTCTTCTCCATTACGCAATATATTCAGGCTCCCAAACCAGGTGTGCCTTCCCATTTTCAAAACCCCCTTGACCATTACTAGTTGAACTCTAGACCCCGACCACCATCTGGATTACTACACCAGTTCCCTGACTAGTCTCCCAATCCAATCCACTCTGCTCACCACAGCCAGATTACCCCATCTTAAAGATTCTTCCACTCAAAGCCTTCAATGCTCTATTTCCTTTAACATCAAATCCAAACTCTCCTGACTTTCAGAGCCATCGGATTCTTCCATTAACTCCCACACCACGAGAATTTATGCTTGGCTTAGTGTCCCCCACAGGGGGCAGAGCTGTCTGTGAAACTCAGCCACTTCACAATGCTGAGGACTCTTCTCCGCTGGTGCAGAGACACTTGTTACCTCTGTAAATTACACGTCTAATGCAACATGGTGGCTGCTTCACATTTGCTTTATAAACTGTGTAAAGGGATAGATGGTATTTTAAAAAGACAGGAAATATTTTTTAATATTTAAAAAATTCATTTCATTAACACTCTTCTGGTACAAAATCATGGATGAAACACATGTAAATGCCTTGAGGTGAAAAGTAACCCTGTGGCAGGTAATAGGATGGTTTTATTTGCTAACCAATTAAAAAGCACATCTGGACTGCAGGGATCCTTAAACTGGTCTTATTCTTACTCTCTGAAAGACAGCCTAATTTGCTCTTCCTGGTGAAAGTCCTTCAATATTCAGAGTATATAAGCGTATATAATAATAACGTCTGTTATAAGAAACACCTATTTTAAAAATAACTATCATCTTGTAACTCAGTATAAAGTTAGTAACAACCTTCATTTGTTGTTTTTTCATTCCGTTAATACAACTACTGGAAAGCAAAGGTTTGCTGGTCCTTTGTGTTAACTTATTAAATTAATATACATATTTGCCACACTAAGGGATGATAAAATCCTCACCATTTAAAAAGTAGCCAAATTAAAGAGCCACCTATGGGAACAGAGAGAATTCTGTCTGCCATTCTTCTTCTTCTTCTTCTTTCTTTTTTAAAGAGACAGGGTCCCACACTGTGTTGCCCAGGCTAGTCTCAAGCTCCTGGGCTCATGTGACCCTCCTGCCTCAGTCTCCCAGAGTAGCTGGGTACTACATGAGCCATTCTTAAACTGTGTTGTTAAGTGTCACTCAGAAATTGATTTGCACCTCCTACGTACCACTGTTCCTGTCCCTGAGGTGGTCAACTTCCCGCACAGTATTAATTGAAAGATTGTTTATGACACTGCCAGGAGTGACGTAAGGGTCAGTTTCAGGGTCAATGTTTGGATAACCTTTCCATGGCTCACCAGGACGAAATTCTGGAAATGGAAATTTAAAATTAGTTCAAAGCTTAATCATCATTTTAAAATCCATTAATAAATATCCAAAACTTTTATTCCTAAATCCTATGCAACTCTTGAATACTTTCCAATTTATACTAACACCCTTTATTCCTAAATCCTATGCAACTCTCAAATACTTTCCAATTTATACTAACACTCTTGTTTTTTTTTTTTTTTTTTTTTGAGACGGAGTCTCGCTCTGTCGCCCAGGCTGGAGTGCAGTGGCCGGATCTCAGCTCACTGCAAGCTCCGCCTCCCGGGTTTACGCCATTCTCCTGCCTCAGCCTCGTGAATAGCTGGGACTACAGGCGCCCACCACCTCGCCTGGCTAGTTTTTTGGATTTTTTTTTTAGTAGAGACGGGGTTTCACCATGTTAGCCAGGATGGTCTCAATCTCCTGACCTCGTGATCCGCCCGTCTTGGCCTCCCAAAGTGCTGGGATTACAGGCTTGAGCCACCGCGCCCGGCCTATACTAACACTCTTAAGAGGATGGTTCAATTAGTATCATAGAAGCTATTCTTTACAAATAACTTGCAAGTTTTTAAAACTGAAATCATCTCTCTGCATGTGAATATACACACCCACACAGGTAATATATACACGTATATATGTGTGTGTGTAAAAAATCATATATATATGTATGCATGTCTGAGACAGAGTCTTGCTCTATCACCCAGGTTGGAGTGCAGTGGTGCAATCATAGCTCACTGCAGCTTTGAACTCCTGGATTCAAGTAATCTCCCTCCTCAGCCTCCCAAAGTGCTGGGATTACAGGCATAAGCCACCGTGCTTGGCTGTGATTCATGTATTTTTTATTTATTTATTTTTTGGAGACAAAGTCTCACTCTGTCGCCCAAGCTGGAGTGCAGTGGCGTTATCCTGGCTCACTGCAAGCTCCACCTCCCAGGTTCACGCCATTCTCCTGCCTTAGCCTCCTGAGTAGCTGGGACTACAGGTGCACGCTGCTACGCCTGGCTAATTTTTTTTTTGTATTTTTTAGTAGAGATGGTGTTTCACCGTGTTAGCCAGGATGGTCTTGATCTACTGAGACCTCATGACCTGCCCGCCGCAGCCTCCCAAAGTGCTGGGATTACAGGCGTGAGCCACCGCACCCAGCCAGATTCATGTATTTTTAAACAGTAACATTTAAAAGTGCTTTAAGCTTTAAGACAAATCACAAAGCTACTGCAACTCAGGTAGGAGAAAGCAGGCCACAGAAGCACTTCTGGTAACTCCATGTATGAATGAAAATACTGCAAGTTACTCCCTGACACAATTTAAGAGAAGCAGTGAATTAAAGTTTTTGTTGCTGTTGTTTTTTTTGAGATGGAGTCTTGCTCAGTCGCCCAGGCTGGAGTGCAGTGGCACAATCTCAGCTCACTGCAAGCCCCGTCTCCCAGATTCACGCCATTCTCCTGCCTCAGCCTCCCGAGTAGCTGGAACTACAGGCGCCTGCCACCACGCCTGGCTAATTTTTTGTAGTTTTAGTAGAGACGGGGTTTCACCGTGTTAGCCAGGATGGTCTCGATCTCCTGACCTCGTGATCCTTGCCTCGGCCTCCCAAAGTGCTGGGATTACTGGTGTGAGCCACTGTGCCCGGCCTAAAGTTTTTAATGTAATTCTTCATGCTGGTCAATGGGACTCACTTCTACCTCTGCTGCTTGAGCATAAAGATATAGGTAACAGGCTGACACACTCACTTGCCCAAGACTTCATGCTTAACTTTTCCTCTATCACTTCTGCATTCCTTCTCGTCCACACATGTCAGTCTAAGCACGCCAATCTGGGCTACATCAGTATTAAGTCCAGATGTAACAAAACCTTAATGGAAACACAGTCTCATGAAAGAAAGTGTTAGAAAAAATTTTACCTGGTGGCCAATTAACACTGCTAGAGCCGTTAGGCGATTTGGCACGTGGCCAGCCATCTCCTATTGAACCTGGAGGACTGGCTGGTGAAGTACTGCTGTTCATAAAGTCATAGGGAACAAATGGAGACTCTTCCAGCCTGAAACCACTTGAAATAGCACCTAACAAGGGAAGAATAATAGAGAAATGTGAGCAGAATACACAAAGATTTACTTCTTATAGCTTCTCAAATGTAACACGAACACTTTCCATTAGATCTGTGGGCTCTAGGCTGTGTTCTCTAGAGTAACTCTTTTACATTGAGATTCTAACATCTCATTTGAAGAATGTCTGAAAATGACCATTGTGAATTTCAAGTTTACAAGGGGCATAAACATCATTAAGTGACCAGAATATGAGCACAAACTTATTTCCAAATCATTAAAACAGTTGTATGGTGGAGGGCTCTGATAATTCAGGGGTTCTTTTTAGGCAACAAAAATGTTTAAAAATGGATTGTGGTGATGGCTACACAACACCGTGAATATACTAAAAGCCACTGAATTATAAGTAAATTATATCTCAATAAACTGTTAAAAAAGAAAGAATGGGGCCAGGTGTGGTGGCTCACGCCTGTAATCCCAGCACTTTGGGAGGCCGAGGCGGGCGGATCAGGGGGTCAAGAGATTGAGACCACCCTGGCTAACATGATGAAACCCTGTCTCTACTAAAAATACAAAAATTAGTTGGGCGTGGTGGCAGGTGCCTGTAGTCCCAGCTACAGCTACTCGGGAGGCTGAGGCAGGAGAATCGCTTGAACCCGGGAGGCAGAGGTTGCAGTCAGCTGAGATCATGCCACTGCACTCTAGCCTGAGAACAGGGCAAGATTCCATCTCAAAAGAAAAAAAAAATAATGTCTTGTTTTCTAGCTTCGATCATTTCACGGGCGGAGGTACAACCCACTGACACTGGAAGGACTGAGTCTGGAAGGGAAAACCAGTCCTCCATTCATGTGGAGTTTGAGGTCGATGTAAATAGAACCTGGCTCGCAACTCCGGCCGGCCCCCACTATGAACATCCATAACACACAGCCGGGCTCTACATGCCACTCCAGCCCCCATTCTTTCCTCTGGCTTCAAGTCACGATGTGCCAGCATGCACATGGGTAACTCAGGGATGATGGAGCTGTTTCCCAACAGGGCCTCGCACCTCTCACTGGTGGGCACTGACCTATCCCTGACTCAGTGCGTCTCCACAGCTTCCATTTTCCCTTTGGCTCTGGCATCCTCAATCTTGTCACTCTGATCTGTGTCAACTATGTATCTATTCTATAAGCGGAATTAAAGCCACTTGGGAGTGAAATGGGACATAAATGAAGTAATGGCTGTACAGGATACATGAGGCAAGCACAACTGCCACATTTCAAGTGATTAATTCTTATACCTGAGATGATAAACATAATTATGTATTTTTTTTTCTAGTAAGAACAATTTCTACTTACGAAAACTTCATTTAATCAAAGGCAAATAGATATAACGAGGCAGCAAGGGTGCAATTTTATTTCATTAATCAACACAAGGGGAACATCAGGAAAATGAAATGTAAAACCTATGTGATAGGTTCAGTTTAAGCAAACAGAACTAAATGTACAGTGGAGAAATGTATTTGTCTTGGAGGTAGGGCATCTGATGAGATAGTGATAAAGGCAGTAACGGCAATGATGGCTATGATCTGCTGACCACTGATGTGTCTAACCCTGTTCCAGCACCTAAGTGCCTGAGATGCATCGTCTCATTCATCCTTAAAACATCCCAAGAGGGCCACCATAAAAAAGAATGAAATCATGTCTTTTGCAGCAAAATGGATGGAGCTGGGAGCCATTACCCTACGTGAACTAAAGAGAAAATAAAATATTGTATGTTCTCACTTTTAAGTAGGAGCTAACCAATGGATACCCAAAGATGGAAATTATTAATAGACACTCGGGATTCCACAAGTGGGGAGGGTGGCAAGGGTTGAAAAACTACTTATCGGGTAAAATGTTCACTATTTGGGTAATGGGCTCACTGGAAGCCCAATCTCCACCAGCATGCAATATACCTGTGTAAAAACATGAACATGCACTCCCTGGATCTAAAATAAAACTAGGCCGGGCACGGTGGCTCACATCTGTAATCCCAGCACTTTGGGAGGCTGAGGCAGGGGGATCACTTGAGGTCAGGAGTTTGAGACCAGCTTGGGCAACATGGCAAAACCCCATCTCTAGTAAAAATACAAAAAACTAGCCAGGCGTGGTGGTGCACGCTTGTAATCCCAGATGCTTGGGAGGGTGAAGTGGAGGGGGATCACCTGAGTACGGGAGGTCAAGGCAGCAGTGACCTGAGACTGTGCCACTGCACTCTGGCCTCGGCAACTGGGGTGAGATCCTGTCTCAAAAAAAAAAAAAAAAAAAAAAAGGCCCAAGAGGTACTATTAATTCCATTTGGCAGATGAGGGACCTGAAGTTCACAAAGGTTAAGTTACTTGCCAAGTAGCTAATTACAATCACGTGTCAATTAACAGGGCTACATTTGGAGAAACTAGGTGATTTCATTTTTGTGTGAACATCAGAGCGCCCTTACACAAACCTAGATGGTACAGCCCACTACACAGCAAAGCCCTGTGGCCTCGCCTACTGCTCCTAGGCTACATGTGTGTTAGAATAATTTCTACTTATGAAAACTTCATTTTCTACTTATGAAAACTTCCTAGTGTTAACACACTAGGCTACTGCTCCTAGTGTGTTACTGTACTGAGGAATGTAAGCAACCGTAACAGAAGGGTGTATCTAAACATAGCTAAACAGGAAAGGAACAATAAAAATATGGTATTACAAGCTCAATGGACCCACTGTTGGATACATGGCCCATTGCTTACTGTAACATTGCCATTAAGTGGTGCACGACTGAAATAGCAGAGTCAATTAGTAGCAGAGCTAAGTCTCAAACTTGGATTCATATTTATTTTGCCATTTCCCCATTGTCTCAACTCCCTGTTCTCACTCTTCAGGTCGGAAAAATTCCCAGCTGGGCCTGGTGGCTCACGCCTATAATCTCAGCACTTTGGCAGGCCAAGGCAGGCAGATCACCTGAGTTCAAGAGTTCGAGACCAGCCTGGCGAACATGGTAAACCCTGTCTCTACTAAAATTACAAAAATTAGCCGGGTGTGGTGACACACACCTGTAATCCCAGCTATACTCAGGAGGCTGAGGCACGAGAACCACTTGAACCCCGGAGACGAGGGTTGCAGTGAGTAGAGACTGCATCACTGAACTCCAGCCTGGGTGACCGAGTGAGATTCTGTCCAAAAAAAAAAAAAAAAAAATCCCAAAGTGATATTCCTCTGAATGGCAAACCAATTTAGAATCAAAGGTCTGTTTGGTTTACGGGCTAATGGTTCCTTCTATTACATGACAATTTTAATTTCTGAAAATCATTAGTCCAATGTGTACAATCTAGAAATCTGACCCTAAAGTTTAGTTAATAAACTTCCAAAGTATAATTCAACAGAAAAAAAAGGGAATGTCACAAAAATATCATTTAAATAGCAATCACAGATTTGAGGCTGCTTAAGCTAGAATCACCAAGCCCTGTCAATTCCACTTCCTCCACAGCTCCTGGATAATGACTATACTAGATCTGCTCCAATTCTCCACACTGCACCTAGAAGCATCATTCAAAAGTGCAAATCTGATCATGTCATCTCCTGGCTTAATTCTCTCCAACACACAAAAGACAATGTTCAAACTCTTCAACAGTTTCAATAGTTTACAATAGTCATCAATAGTTTACAGTAGTCCAGCCTCGCCCCAGCTCTCATGGTTTCCCCTCCCTTCACCCCTGCCTGCTAACTTGTTTATCTTTCATATCTCAGCTTCAGAGATCACAAGCCTCCTAGAAGCCTTGCCCAACTGCCTCCAACCAAGGCTAAAATAAAAAATCTCCTTCTATACATGTCACCAAATTCATCTGGGTGCTGAGGTGAAGGGATTTTATAAACTTGCCTGGAAGTCACAGAATCTCAGGGCCATAGGGTATCTCAGACATCCAGTTTAACCCTTCTGTAATGCAGAATTTCCTAGTCAAATGGGCTTGCCTCCACTCCCCTTAACAAATCAGACTTTTCTTACTGTAGGTGTGCAGCGAAGGGTTAGTGTGGCAGACTGGACTGCACATTCCAAAGTGTGCCAGGACTGTCGCTTGTTCAGCTCCTGTGTTTCTCCAAGCTCATGGACTACTCTGCCAGTTAAGAGTGCCTCTGCATGCCTTACACCTAGGCTACTCTAATGATATGATTTACGGTGAACGCCTATTCTTTTCTGCCTGAGACTCGGGTCCATCCTGTATTTGTCTGACCTCTGAGGGGTCTGTCTGGAGGGGGCTGGAGACAGACTAGCTGATTAGTTATGCAAGTGTTTCAGGCTTACATTGCTGAATGAAAGAATGAGTTAAGTGAGTTATCAAGCTTTTCTGCTTTTAATTTCTGAAACTCTCTTCAGTGCACTCCCTCTCATGTCCACTGACCTTTCTCTCTCTTACCTAGACTACTTTAAGTCTTAACTGCCTCTAGGCACCCATCACTTTCATGTTTAAAATCATTCATGGCACGAAAGTTTTCCATGATTTGTACCACACCTACCATTCCATCTTCATCTACCTCCTTTCTGTCATTTTCACCTTCACCCCCAGATATGCCCAGATACAGAATTCACCTGGCAGTCCTCTTTGAACCCTGCATGTGCTATTCTCTCTTGGTTGCTCTTCCTGTTTGTTTGGTAAACTTACTCTTCTCAAGGTAAGTCTTTCTCACCTTTCCAGACCCACCACACCCGCAGTTATTCCTGACTCAATGCTCCTAAGGAACTTTGTATTATTAAACTATTATAAATATTAACTTTGATATTACCTATTGCATTGCACTAAAGCTGCTGATATACTTTCATTCACAATGAACAATTTCAGGGCAAGGATTTTTACATACATACATACATACATTCAACTATGAACATGTATGTACATATGTGTCTATGTATTCCAGGTGCTAACACAGCCTTGGAAAGCAGAAGAAATCGATTAATATTTGCTGGGTGAATGGATAATACTAAATAAGATGAAAATGGCATTTCTAAAAAAAAAATGTAATTGCTGAAAAGACAATACTGTTAAATCAATGACTTACACACAGCAATAAGATATATAAAGAAAATTTGTCCGTATGTAAGGAATTGATAGAAATAAAATTTATGGGCCAGGTGCAGTAGTTCACGCCTGTAATTGCAGCACTTTGTGAGAGCAAGGCGGGTAGATCACCTGAGGTCAGAAGTTTGAGACCAGCTGGGCCAACACAATGAAACCCTGTCTCTACTAAAAACACAAAAATTAGCCAGGCTTGGTGGCTCAGGCCTGTAGTTCCAGTTACTCCAGAAGCTGAGGCAGGAGAACTGCTTGAATCCGGGAGCACAGGTTTCAGTGAGCTGAGATCACACCACTGCATTCCAGCCTGGGTGACGGAATGGGACTCTGATAGAAGTTTTAAATGTACTACTAAGATATATATCAAATTAAATCCAGTAAAAGTTAATAAGTGTAGTAATATAAGAATAAAATCACTTAGAAAAATGTAAAAAGCCAAAGGGAAAATAATTTTTAAAAATGCATCATCTGATCTCTCCTTTATAAAACAGAGTAGAGGTAAATTTTGCTTTTCATCTGAAAGTCTCTTATTTTAACTAAGACTTAATAATAACTTTCTTTAAATGAGGAAAAGTTCTAAGATAATTTGGCTTTGAAAACATATTTAAAATAAAGGCCTAAATCTAGTATTCTGCAGGTGTGCTTTTTGTTTTTTTGGGTAAGATGTAACAATCTTTTGTACCATGTTTGCTGGAGTTTTGATCCAAAGATGTGTTCACAGAAATGCTGTCCACTGTCGTCCATTTCCTTAGTCTTGACTGTGGCTCTTTAATACTGTTCATATCCATATTTACATTCAAGTTTGAGTTCAAGCCTGAAAAATTAAAAAACAAAACAAAACCTTAGAAAATACAGCACATTTTCTTTCTAGTAGCACAACTTTTATTTCCTAGAAAAACATGTAACTAATGTTTTCAAACCATATAACTGTTAATACTATAATTTAGTTATATGTAGAAAATATTTCTCCATAAAATTTTCATGATTTTAAAACTCCTTGGCAAAATAAGAGGGAGAAAAGTTTTAAGGAAGCCAGATGGGTAAGCTTACTTGGAATAAAATGTATCTGTTTAGCTATTTCCCAAGTGTACCATGCATGAAGATCTGTGGTCACTTTCAGTTGCTATCTTTTGCTTGCAAATTCTAAAGTAAAAACGTCCTGCACTAGCAATTACACCTAAGTGGGGGACTGATATATCTTAAGGCACAATTTACTTGACCTTTGCTGATGAGGCCCCTCAGACTTGGATACTCTCTTGGAACAACAATGGAAATTTCAACCTTAGATACAGTGGTTAGAAAACTATTAAGCTAGTTTTTCTTAAAATAGTAATCTAGGGACTATTAATATTAGAATCACCTAAAATGCTTATTTAAAAATGAAGACTTTCCAGTGGGAGCCAGAATCTCTATTTCACAAATTCCCAGGAGGTTCTTATTCTAAAGTTCCAAATTAAATTGTTTTAAATTCTCTGGTCTGATGAGTCCATGTGATGTTAAGGTCTGTCAAACCTGAAAACTTTAATAATATGAATTCTCTAATACTATACCTATTTTTGCAGAGAGCAATTAAATTTGCTACTCTTGGACCCATCGATCAGATCAGGAGTTGACAATTTTTTTCTGCAGAGGTTTAGCCGGTATCTCAGGCTCTGTGGGCCACATGGTCCCGGTGTCTCCATGCAACTCTGCTGGTGCAGCACAAAAGCAGCCACAGACCCCATGTTAGAGAAAATGTGGCTGTGTCCAACAAAACCTTACAATAGCAGGCAGTGGGCCAAATTAGGCCAACAGGCCATAGCCTGTTGCTCAACTTAGGTAACTGTATTGGTGTTTGCATGGGCTAAGCAGACTTTCTTAATCAAGAAGTATCCCTCACTGAAAAGCCGGCCAGGGCAGGAAATCCTATACTTAGAATTCACATGGTCCAATTTATATGTCAAGTGTATAGTCAAATAGGAAGAGCCAGTTCCCTTTACTGGTGAGACAGAAACTTCTCCCTGTACTTGGGTATCAATTCTTTTAGTACTAACTGTTGTCTCTGACATCACCTGGCCACCAATAAATGGCTTCTAGAGTATTCACCCACAGTAGTAACTGACAAGGGAACTGTTTTTGGAAATGCACAGAGATTACTAACAATCCTAAGGACTCAAAGTGCAATTTATGTCCCAGGTGAGATTCTGTGGTAATACCGGGATGAGCCAAACCAGTTCAGTCACAGAGTGAGGCAGCAGCAGGGGCAACAGCATGCCCCAGCCTCTGCCCACAGCCCAGAACACGCTAGTTAACTGATGGTCTTCAAATACTCTGGCTAACAACCAACAAAGCTGGTTTACAAGAAACCACTGTATGGGAAAAGAGAGAGAAAAATAGCAAAATGAACAGGGCATGATCAATCAAGGGTCAAAATATAATCAAGGGCACAAGAGAAAAAGAGACCGAGGAAAGAGAAAACATGTAAGCCCAAAATCTCCATCCAGTGAATAAAAGCCTGGAGGTAACATAGAAAAAAAGGAGTGGGTGGGGGTGGGGAGTTGCACGTATAAGAAAGGCAATCCCCTTTCTTACCTCCATTTTCTTATTTATATCAGTAATCATTTATACACAGACAACAGTTAAAACTTCAAGTTCTGAGAGCTAGCAAATGTGACTGTGACCCTTCCCAGCTGTTTCACCAAAACAGCACTGCTCAAAAATTCTCTGGTGTACTGTTTCTAATAAGAATATCAGCCTTCTCACCCTTAATATCCTACGATTAAGACAACTAGTCCTTTAAAAAGTGAAATGTTTCCTTTATTCTAATGCACTTTAAATGAGTGTGGAGTTTTTGAAATAGTGTGATTTTCAAGGCTGGGCACGGTGGCTCATGCCTGTAATCCCAGCACTTTGGGAGGCCAAGGCAGGCAGATCACCTGAGGTTAGGAGTTCCAGACAAGCCTGGCCAACATGGTGAAACCCCAACTCTACTAGAAATACAAAAATTAGCTGGGCGTGGTGGTGCGCGCCTGTAATCCCAGCTACTTGGGAGGCTGAGGCGTGAGAATGGCTTGAACCCAGGAGGCAGAGGTTGCAGTGAGCCGAGATCTCACCACTGCACTCCAGTCTGGGGGACAGAGCAAGACACTGTCTGTAAAAATAAAAAAAAATAAAAAATAAAAAAAAAGAAGCAAACAGTGTGATTTTCTTGAATGGAGAGAGAACTTCCCTGAACATGGAGCAGGTTAAAACTAGGAGAGGGGATGGCAACTCTCTGAGAGGGAACAGCTAAGAGATCAATGTAGCTTTCACGAAGGAACAGAGCTGTAAGGGTACGTGTGAAGGAGGCATGCCTGTGATACCCAAGCATCAGTCCAGTGCTTGGACCAAGGAGAAACCCACCTATAGGGAAGTTGCTGAAAGCATTTATTGGTGATGGCCCTTTTTGCAGCTCAGGTGTAGTGTGGGGCATGACATTGTCAAGGAAAGACTTCATGGCTGGCTGATGGAGTGGCTGCTGCTGAGATGGTGGAGTCTGCTGCTTCACCAACAGGTTTGGATCAAGTTGACGAGATTGTTGCATCATTTGCTGCTGCACGCTAAGAGGTCGACCCTTAAAACAATGAAATGATTGGAAAAAATTATTGGGGGAAAAAGTCTTTACAGAAAACTACATATTTCCTCTTCACTTTTGAATTCACTTTCTTCACAGCAGAAAGGTGAATAATCACTGTATAATGTTCACATAACTCATGGGCAACCAGCAGACTTAATGCACAACATACTTCATTATATCTTAGTAAGACTGTTTTAAGAAAGACACTTCTGAATCTCTTGCTAGAATGGAGATAAGCAGAGTTTATTAACACAAAGACAGCACCACGAGTTGGAGGGCTGGCTCTACCTGCTGGTCTTGCTGCGGCCGGTTCCCAGAAGGCACGCTTCTCTGATTCTGCGCCCTTTGCTGCTGCGCTAACAATCGCTAGAGGAAAGATGGCGAGAAGGTTGTTACTATCATACCATTACAAAGTCGTGTGCTTCCAAATGACGACAGCAGATGGACCTACAGAGGCGTGATGTGATCTAGCCAATGCCAACATGTCTAGCCTAACAGTCCCTTCCTTGGACTCTCTGGCTTCTAGTCACTGCTGAAATTCAGTTTTTAGTTCAATCTAAACTTCCACTTCAATCAGAGAAACTTTTCCTAAACATCCGACTCTCACTAGCACCCCAGACTTGGCTGAGGCCTCCTCTCACAGCATTTTGCACTTCTTCAAAACATTCTTCACAGATGTTCATGATCTGTCCTCCCCGACAGACTGTAAGCTCCATGAGAGCTATGACTACGCCTGTTTTGTTTAGTGCACTATATCCTGCACAGAATCTAGTGTTTGGTATACAGTAGATACTCCATAAATATGTACTAAGAAAGACTATGACTCTGCTTACCTGTAATTGGGAGATCTGAGAAAGCTGGTTTAGCTGGGATAGCTGGTTCAGCATGGCTACCTGTTGAGGGCCAAAGAGTGGATTCAGGCCACCGTTGTTTGGTGCATACTTCAGCAATGAAACTGGAACCTTAGGATCACAATGGTAAGTTAATGATCTTGATAAAGTAACTCCCACTCGCTACATGTACTGTGTGTTTTAAGCTGTCAATAATAGAGCAGTTAAATCTGTGGACTATTCATTGGCTTCATAGTCTTTGTCTCTGCCTTACTCACTGACCACTTGTACTTTTTCGTGGGTTAGGTAAAAGATGACAGAGATGCATCTTAAACTAGCCAATTTTACTTTGCTTTTGTCCTCAAGAATGTTTTATAGAAGAAAATGGTAAATTTTAGATTTAAATTATCCTTGACTTATCCTTTTTTTTTTTTTTTGAGACAGAGTCTCACTCTGTCGCCCAGGCTGGAGTGCAGTGGCCGGATCTCAGCTCACTGCAAGCTCCGCCTCCCGGGTTCCCGCCATTCTCCTGCCTCAGCCTCCTGAGTAGCTGGGACTACAGGCGCCCGCCACCTCGCCCAGCTAGTTTTTTGTATTTTTTTTTTTTTTTTTTAGTAGAGACGGGGTTTCACCGTGTTAGCCAGGATGGTCTTGATCTCCTGACCTCGTGATCTGCCCATCTCAGCCTCCCAAAGTGCTGGGATTACAGGCTTGAGCCACCGCGCCCAGCCGACTTATCCTTTTTTTTTTTTTTTTTTTTTTGAGACGGAGTCTCACGCTGTTGCCCAGGCTGGAGTGCAGTGGCGCGATCTCGGCTCACTGCAAGCTCCGCCTCCTGGGTTCACGCCATTCTCCTGCCTCAGCCTCCTGAGTAGCTAGGACTACAGGCGCCCGCCACCGCGCCCGGCTAATTTTTTGTATTTTTAGTAGAGACGGGGTTTCACTGTGGTCTCGATCTCCTGACCTTGTGATCCGCCCGCCTCGGCCTCCCAAAGTGCTGGGATTACAGGCTTGAGCCACCGCGCCCGGCCGACTTATCCTTAATACAACCTTTTGTAATAGTTAATTCAGAACTAGCTAAATCTCGAAGATGCCAATAAACATGATAATGATTAGTTAGCCATTTCATTCAAACATAAAATCACGCAAGATCCTTTTTGCAGGTAAACAGGAAAACGTAAGGAAAGCTTATTTACCTGAGGGGAGAGTAATGGAGGAGGCACTTGAGCACGGAGATTAGGCTGAGATGAACTAAGAGGTTGTGCTGGAGGCTGCTGCATGCCCCGGGGTTGTGCTGCTGTGTTTCCAACACCAAACATACTGGGATTGCCATTCTACAAAAACAAACAGCAACAAGTAACAGTGGGATTCTTTAGGGACAAACATCTCATTGCCACATTGTACTATGATTTAAACACAGTAACTACATGTAAGAGAGATCTTATTACTAATACAAATCATTCAACTGAGAGCCTAAAATACACATCTGGACTTACCTGTCTAACAGAATTCAAGTTTTGCATACCCAGCCCTGCTATGGAGCCAAGGGCCTGGTTAGGTAGTGCACTATTTGAAGGGGGAAGCTTCATGCTTTGACTGGACATAAACTGCATGTTTTGGGATTCATCTGCTACAATGCCATCCTGATTGGACAGACAGAAAGATGTGCAACACCAGCCAAGCAAACAAGTGGAAGGGAGAAATCATTGCAGGAACAGAAGAGAAGTCACATGACATTCCAGCATCAACAGGAAACAGGTAGAAAACAGAAGAGATCAGATTAGTGTTAATTCTAGAGCACACAAAAAGAGCCAAACATATTTCATGGGATTAAGAAGAAAAATATAAATGCAACCTCTATGCTAAATTGAGACATAAAAAGACAGTGAACTTCAAAATCCAGTAATAAGATTTGGTACTGGATTGCAACACTTTATATTATAAAAAATGTTTTAAAATATTAGTGTGAAAATTATGCTATTAAGTGTACTGGTTTATCAAGTCAGAGGTAAAAGTAAAACACCTTACCTTATCAAAATAAGGACTGCGCTCCATGGAAGACTCTTTGGAAATCTGAGGCCGAGAACCAGGGCCTTTCCCGACCGTTCGATTGTAATCACCAATATTTAGGCTATGTTTATCTATCTCCATTCGTTTGTCTTGTAACATTCCTAATAAATGCAGGAGACTATGTTATCAAACAGGAAGACAACCCAATTGGTTTCAGATAAATTTACAACAAAAGCAAAACACTCACTTGGCTGAAATGACTTCAGCCAAGACAAAGATATGTGAAAAACACACCTGTATTTCATAAATTTTGCATTCCTCACAAGTAAAGTCGCAATTAGGAGATACTGTTATTTTATTGAAATAATTAACTTGAAATAGACTAGTAAACAGAAGGTGGCTGGCTGATAACCTCCCTTTTTTTTTTTTTTGATAGTGTCTCACTCTATGGCCCAGGCTGGAGTACAGTGGTGGGATCTCGGCTCACTGTAACCTCCACCTCCCAGATTCAAGCGATTCTCATGCCTCAGCCTCTCAAGTAGCTGGGATTACAGGAGTGTACCACCACACCCGGCTAATTTTTGTATTATTAGTAGAGACGTAGGTTTCTCCCTGTTGCCCAGGTTGGTCTTGAACTCCTGACCTCAAGTGATCCAGCTGCCTCGGCCTCCCGAGGAAGTGCTAGGATTACAGGTATGAGCCACCGGGCCTGGACTCGTTTTAAAAGGACTCTTAGGCTACATAACTTAAGACAACTTTAGCCATCTCTAATCTGCTGAGTTTTATAATACAGGTAAGTTTCCATTAACAAGTAATAAAAACAATCAGCACCCACTGTGATAAACCACCATTTAATAAATGCTTGCTTTATGTCAGTCCTCATTGTAAGCGCTTTTTTTTTTTTTTTTTTGAGAAGGGGTCTCACTCTGTCACCCAGGCTGGAGTGCAGTGGCGTGATCTCGGCTCTCTGGAACCTCTGCCTCCCGGGTTCAAGCAATTCTCCTGCCTCAGCCTCCCGAGCAGCTGGGACTACAGGTACCCCCCACCACGCCCAGCTAATTTTTGTCTTTTCAGTAGAGACGGGGTTTCACCATGTTGGCCAGGCTGGTCTCAAACTCCTGACCTCAGGTGATCTGCCTGCCTTGGCCTCCCAAAGTGCTGGGTTTACAAGTGTGAGCCACCGCGCCCGGCCTATAAGTGCTTTATGTGTACTAATTTAATGCGTGTAACTATACTGTTATCGCCCGTTTAGCAGATGAGGAAATTGGACGCCAGACAGGGTAACATCTTCCCCTCTCTTAGGCTTTGCTCTGCCTGCTCCTCTCCTCATTCTGACTGCTATGCAATAAAACATGAATCCTCTCATGGAAACTTTTTTCCTGCAAAATCTTCTTTGCTGGACATAGCCAGCTCCAGCCCAAAAGCTACTGTTCTATTTCAACAAATCTTTCAAAAGTGGACAATGTTCTCTACTACCCATCCTCACCATCTGCCCATTCTGGTTTCTCTTCCTCTATCCATGCTGAGCTCACCTTGGGTGCTTCTTCAATGCTGGAATACTCTGAGGCCGACACAGTAGACTCAGGGTCTCAGTCTTTTGACTCTCTCTGTAAACTTGCTTTCCTTAGACTTCATTCACTATCAAGGTATCAGCAGTCACTCCCATTCAAGTGATGCCCAAATATAAACGTGTAGCTTAGACTTCACAACTGAGCTCAGTCCCACATTTTTACCTGACTGCCATATCCACTTTGATGTCCCACTGTCACTTTTTTTTTTTTTTTTTTTTTGAGACACTGTGTGGCTCTATTGCCCAGGCTGGAGCGTAGTGGCACAATCTTGGCTCACTGCAGCCTGTGCCTCCCCGGCCCAAGCGATCCTCTCACCTCAGCCTCCCGAGTAGCTGGGCCTAGTGGCATGCACCACCACGCCCAGCTAATTTTTTTATTTTTTGTAGAGACAAGGCTTCACCATGTTGCCCGAGGGGTCTCCAACTCCTGACCTCAAGTAATCTGTCCACCTCGGCCTCATGAAGTGCTGGGATCACAGGCATGAGCCACTGTGCCCGGCCTCATTGTCACTGTTAACACAGGTTTTCATCTCCCTATTTCTCATTCTCAACGTTTTCTCAATCCGCAAATCTCATCCATCATTTCTCTGCAACTGCTGTTCTTTGAGACGTCTGCCACCACCATAATACTTACCTTTACTACTCTCATTCCAGGTAAGTGGAAAAGGAAAACATTTTAAGAGAAGGAAAATAATTCTTAAAGTAGCTAAAAAGTACTGTTCCAGTCATGAATCTGGTATCTGAAAAGTCCACCTTTCACACTTGTTTAAGAGCCCTCTCCTGAATGTCAATAATCCTTACCACAGCTCCCTCCTCCGTTCTCTCTCCCTGTTAAGATGTCATAATTCACTGATAACACCCAAGCTAGCCATTGTGAACTCTTTCCCCCACTCTCTCCATCTAATCCTGTAACCAATTCCAACCAGTTCTCCTAAGTCTCTCTCCAAGCTGTTCCTTCTTGATAATTCACATTATTTTTGCCTATGCAATTATCTTTTGAAAGACTAATAGTGGCTGAGCATGGTGGCTCACACTTGTAATCTCAGCGTTTTGGGAGGCCGAGGTGGGCAGGTGTTCGCGACCAGTCTGCCAACATGGTGAAACCCCGTCTCTACTAAAAATACAAAAAATTAGCTAGGCGCGGTGGCGGGTGCCTATAATCCCAGCTAATCAGGAGGCAGAGGCAGAAGAATCGCTTGAACCCGGGAGGCAGAGGTTGCAGTGAGCCGAGATCGCGCCACAAGACTCCAGCCTGGATGACAGTGCAACACTCCATCTCAAAACAAAACAAAACAAAAAAACAAAACAAAAAAAACACACCATTCCCCAACGCTTCTGCATCCCTTTAAAAAGAAAATGTCAAATGTGGCAATCTCCCCTCAGTCCACCAGTCCTCTAGTAAGGTCCATTAGTTACCAATGACTACCCCCGAGCTCCATTGTCAAATCCATTCCCTGACAACCAGTTTTCTCTTTTCAAAACTCTGTACTCACTTGGAGTCTGAAAAATTATTCTACTCTAACTTGTCCCACTTCTGCTCAGGATCACTCCCCTAAATATCATTATTTCCCAGCACTGTCTTCGGTCCATTATCCTCCAACTCTCTCTAGTCAAACTATTCCTATAGCTTTCACTATTATCCACATCTAATTAATTACACTTCATATCTCCAGCCCCATCTATTCTGAGCTTCACATCCGGATTTTCGACTGTCTACTGGACGTGATATCAGATAGTTTTCAGGGCACCTTCAAACTTAGTATCTATCAAGCCTGCTATTCCTGTATTTCTCACCTCAAATAACGACCATTTATTGATTTATTGTCTCTCAGCTCCAAATTCACCCTTTTGACTGCTCTATGAAAATATATCTGGACCCTTTACAATTTTTTCCTTAGCCAGCTGGTACTGAGGCTTTGTCAGAAGAGGGCGCTGGAGAGACAGGGCAAGAGGAAGGGTGTTGCTTCCTGGGCCAGCATGTGCTCTTGGTAGGCATGAGCAGCCTTTGCAGCTTCTCCATTGCCTGGTGGGTCAGCAGCACTCAGTGGGAGCTTCTCCCAGCATTCCCAGCATTCCCCTCCCTCTCACATCACAGTTGTGCTGCAGTGTCTCCCATGAGACACCTCTCCATGAATGCCTTTTCCCAGCAGCCTAGAGGGCATATTTCCCACAAGTTCCACCAGCATGACACCATAGCAACTTCTGCACCATGCAGTGAGCCATGAAGGAGGCAGAAACTTGTACTAACAGGAAGAGGCTCACATTCTGGACATGGATTTTTCTTGCCTGTAAAGCTTCTGTCATCCACAGCCTCACAGAATACCTTCTCCACTATCGTGGCACTCCTCACAGTCATCATGTCTTACCAAGAAACTCATGTCACAGCAGAGGAAATACAGGACTGTGTTCATGCCCATGGAATTAACTGGTCTTAACATATATGCCATTGCCTGAAAGTAGCTAATCAAATTAACAGGCTTACTAAAGAATCAGTTACAAAGCAAGTTGGGAGACAACATACTAAAAGGGTGGGCATCTGTCTTAGGAGGATGCAGTATGTGTCTCCCCAACTACCAGAATTTGTAGGTCTTGAGAATCAAAAGGTGAAAGTGGGAGCAGCTTCTCTCACAATTATACCTAATGGGCCACTCACAGAACACTCCTTTCCTGTTCTGACAACTGCTGATTTAGAGAACTTAGTCCTTGAGAGAGAAAATGCTTCCAGCAAAAACCACAACAATGGTTCCACTGCCCTGGAAGATGAAGACTGCTACAGGGACATTTTGCACTCCTTGAGATATGAACTAGCAGGCAAAAAACAAACAAACCAACCAACAAACAAAAAACGAGTCTACTGGCTGGGGTAACTGATGTGATTACAAAATGAAGGCAGTGAAGACTGTCTGGAATCCAGGGGATTCTCTGGGAAGCTTCTCAGTATATCCATACCAAGTAGTGACGGCCAATGAAAAACAACGGTAACCATAAAAGGCAAGGACAACTGGGGGCTCAGATTCTTTGGGAATGAAGGTTTGGGTTACTTAACTCCAGCAGCTAAAGAACCAAGAGCAGCTGAGGTTCAACCTGAAAGTGAGGTAAGTACAGAATACGCAGTGAAGGGAGGAAGGCACAGATACCAATGATGGCTTACGAGCAATTACAGAAATAACAATGGTAGTAGATTTGCATATTTTCCTATTGTTTGTCATATGGATGTGTTAATTTGTATAGGCCAAGTATTTTCTTTCCTGCTTTTACCTTATTCACAAGTTATTAGATGTTAAATTTTATTATTTAGTCTTTAGGTAACAAACTGTGACTGAATTTCCGGGGTGATTATATAGCCAGTGATGAATACAATGACCCTTGGGGCTGTTCATCTCGTCAGTTTAGAGAGAGGATGAACACTTCTTCACTTGTAAGAAAGAAAGCTGTATCTTGTTAAGCAGAAATGCAGAGTTGCATTGCCACTGTACTGGACAAATGTGTGTAGAAGAGTACATATGGAAGGTGAGCAGTCAAAGGGTTGGGATGAACTGTGCTGATTACTGACTTATTTCCTCTAGCTCCAATTTCACCCTTTTTGATTGCTCTGTGAAAAAAAAGGGACTTAGGCCCTTTACAGATTTTTTTCCTTTGCCAGCTAGCACTGACCTTTTTTAAGTAGAAGGTGCAAGAGGAGACATTTGGTTTCCTAGTTCTGGTCTGCTCTCTCCTGCAGCACGGCAGCTTTGCCAGCACCTACAATGCTCAACTCACCAGTGGCTGGCAGCATCTATCAGCATGCCCTCTGGTAGCTCCGTAGCGAGTGCCTCCCATGAGACACCGCTCCTGTGCCCTGCCTTCACTGGTACCTTAGAGGGTGGATCTCCTGCACTCCTGCTGACATGGCACCACAGTGAGAGGAAGGCGGCTCTTTCTTGGGCATGCTACGTCAGTCCTCACTGAGTGACTTCCCCTTGTATCTGCTACTGCTACTCCAATTCCTTGTTAAGGTCTTGTATATTACATTTTTCCTGTTAGCAAATTACTGCATAGTTTCTTCTGACTGGACTCTGATTAACACAATAGCACTACCATCTATTAAACCATCCAGGTAAGTTTTCATCACAATCTCTCCCTCAACCTGCCTAACAAATTGGTTCAAACTGGTTATCAACTTTTATTGATTCCAATTCCTATGTCTCCATGGAATTAAGATCATTTGCATCTACTCTCTTGGTTTGGAGCTTTGAAAATAATTACTGGCTACTGCAGCAAGTATCTATCTGGTTTTGCTATCTTTAGTATCTTTTCTCTATCTCCTGCTGCCAATGTTTTCTATCCTAAGATATTTTCAATCTATAACCAAGATGATTTTTCTAAAACATAAGTCCAAACCATGTCATTACCCTGCTTCACTTTAATCTCATATTTTAAGAATGAAGTTCAAATTCCCAAGCTCCTCATGACTTAGCACCAACCTGGTTTTCTAGCATCTTTATCCAGGTGATCTTTCACCACCACCACCACGGCTGCCCCCACCAAAACTGTTTTTCTTCACTTGTTCTATGGAACTACTTACCATTCCTCCAGTATAGTTTTAAGAGTCTGTCATACGTCTAGGCCCTTCTACATGCTGTTCCTTCATCAAGAAGACTATACCCTCCAATCTGAGTAACTCCCTCTTGGCAGGATTATGTGTAAAGTAATCAGACTAATAACACCACCGTAATCAGACTAATAACACCACTGATGTGCACAGTGGTCTGCACTTCCAAGGCACACGCACTCATTTAACCACAGCATGTATACGTCTATTGGAGAGCACGGCCTCCCCACCATCCTGATCTACGTCAGGGCTCTTTCAGCAGAATCATGTCACGGATGTGCTTGTCCCTCAATAAGGAATATAAACAGATTTAATTTTCTCTTACCTCCAGAAAGGTCCATTTTATTGCTTTGTACATTTTCCTCTGGTGAGTCTCTCTAAAGAAAGAAAATGCAGCATGTTAGCAGACCTTAATTTATCAATGAAAACAAATAAAAAATGAAGAATTTTACTGTATTTCATTATCTGAAAAATTCAAGTGGATCATAAAGCTTCATTTTTCATTGCCTAACGTAATTTTTTAAATGTTTTAAAATAAAACATGTGATTGAAGTTCTTAGCTAAAACCATAAAAATAAAGGTTTGGAGGCCAATTTTACTCCAACATCAAGCACATTCCTAAGGACTCGAAGATGAAAAATAATTCTTGAAAAGAGTGAAATCGAGATAAACCATGGAGCACCATTAAAAGAGGAAGGAGCTGCTAAAAAAACATACTTACCGAAAAACTGATATTTGAAAACTGTTTAACAAATGGATTTATCCACGCTTCTTCTTGTTTGTTTCCACCTTTCATCATTCCCTTTGTAAAATAAAAGAGTAGAAAAGATGCCATGGCCATCTCTGTTTATCTGGGTATAGTGACGGATTAATAAAACTTAAGACAATCCCCAATTCTCATTTTTAGCCAATAATTTCTCCTCCAATCAACTCTTATCAGAGTTGTTAATAATTAAAAATCAACTTATTTGATTTTCAACTTCCTTTGCTCCAGTCCTCTGGTATAGCTGTAATGTACAGAGAAATCTCTAAAGGCAAGCAGTCAGAAGGAAATGACAGAAGCAAAAGGCCTCGATGACCCAAAAATATGAAAACAGGGCCTCTGAGTAGTGGAGAACTGTAAGAGTAGTTATAATTTAGATTTCTGGAATTCTCACTCCAAACCAAAGTAAAAAAATAGTGACTAGGTCCTCAGGTTAGTCCAAAGAAGCCAATTTAACCCATAATTTAATTATGCTATGTGCATCCTACTGAAAACACACCATGTTTTCCACAGGAAAAGTATTTTAAAATTTCAATTTGTGTTGCCAAGAACACAACATCTCTAGCAGAATTGAACCTGGGATTCCTCCTGCTTAGGGCTGGCTGGCTCTCTGCAGCTGGTTGGGGTATGAGTGGTATAGAAACTCCACTGAGACCTGAGTTAAGAGGATGAAGGGTCTGTGATTAGCAGTCTGGTAGACAAGGAGGCTGGAAGCCATAGAGACCTATGTCTCTCATTATGGTCTCACAGAACCATCCTCAGTCTGTTGCCTTCATCACCCTTTCCCATTGCTACTGTCTATTCCTTCTGACTGTGAAACAGAACACAGCTTCACAACTTCCCCCCAAATGCAGGTCTCTGAAGCAAGCACCTAACTCTCTCCGCAGATTCTGAAGTTGGCTTTGATCCCTTTTCCTTTCACCCCATCCATCCCCATACCTAACTAGTTGCCAAGTTCTTCTGTCCTTTCTATTCTGACTGAAATGCCTCTCAAATTAGTCCCTTCCACTATATATCCAGTCTCATTTCCCAACTCAAGCCCTCCTTTCTAGCTTGAATTAACACAGATGCTCCCTGAGATCCCTAACTGTGGTCTCCCCTCTGTGCCAATTTATATTTCATACTATCATTGACTAAAATTAATAATTAAAAAACCCCACTGATGTTGTTTTCTACTCAATTTCATTGGTTCCATATTTTACACAAAATAAAGTTCAAATTCTTGGCATGCTATTGAAGACACTACAATCTGCCTTAACTACAGAGCCAGATCTCTTGTCACTTCTTCCTAAAAATTCTACATTTTAGTTATGTTGGGCTACTATCTTCCTTAACACATCCCATCCCAAGCATCTTCCAAATTCAAGCTGACACTTCTATGAAGCTCTCCTAATGCCCCGTACTAGACTGTGAGCTCCCGAAAGGTGAAGCTCATATCTTAGTGTATTTGAATCCCCAGCACCAAGCACAGTACCTGGCACACAGCAGAGGCTAAATAAATGTTTGCAGTTGCTTTCTAAAGATTTTTACTAGTAGAAACAAAGGAGAAAGAGTAAAAAGGCTACACACCCTTTCCCTTCTCCTTTTTTTGCCACTCAGACCCTGTAAGGAAAGACAAAGTCACAAAACAGCATGGTCCAGTGGGAAGAACACAGGGTTTGGAATTGGAAGACCTAAACTTAAGTCCTTACTCTGTCACTAGTTATTGCAACTTTGGGCAAGTCACCACCTTTTCCAGTCTCAAATTCCTCATTAGTATCCTATCTTAGAAGGTTGTGAGGATCAAATGACTTATGTAAAACATGTAAAAGCATTTCATAAGCTATATGGCAAGGCAATAGGCAAATTCAGCCACATGAAAAATTTTAAAAATGAAAATGGCAGGTCCTAGACTTAGAATCCCAGGATTAAAAGTGAGGAACCTTGGCAGTTACCTAGTCCAACTATCCACTGGTATTTGCCTTCTAAGGTCTCTCAAAAGGTAATCATTCTCAAGTTGGGTGGGATAGGATGTTATGTCAGAACCACTTGGGAGACTGGGCACCTATTTTGAAAATGGTCGTCCCCAGGAAGACCTGACGCCAGCCCCCAGTGCCACCTCTTACGAACCAGTGCTCTAAATCAGTGCTTCCCAAACCTGGCTCTGCATCAGAGACATTTGGGGAGTTTCTTTAGGGTAAGAAACCTGGTCCAATTTCCAAAACTTCAGTAGACCTGAGGTATGGGAAGCTGCACTTTTAACAAATGCCATGGGATTCCGATGTACAGCCAGCTTTAGGAATATGATTTGTCCACATATAAAAGCCAAATCAAGCTCAGATCATTCCTAGGGATTTCTGTCACAGGACCTTTTGGGATGGGATAGGGACAAAGATGACAGGTGAGTAAGGAGGACAGTGACTCTGGGTAAGGGGGTGGTGGGGGACTCCAGGTGAGGAGGTGAAATGGGAGATGAACTGGCAGTGGGATGGAAAGAGTCAACATGGAGATTTGCTCTTCTCTTCATCCTCACCGCTGCAGGCACCACCCTAGGATGAGGGGTTGTCCCAGGCAGCACTGGTGGAGGGGGAGGAGGAGAGAAATCCCAAGCTGTAGCAGTGGGGAGAAAGGAAGTTCCTGTGGTCTTATGTTTCTCTAGGTGGCTGCCCATACAAGTGGCTATACCTAAGGTGGGGGCTGCCTGGACTGTACTGACTGCCAGAAATGGGCAGGCAAAAAATTAATTTTCTGTGGGTAAACTACCTTTGGAATTTAAAGTTTCAAGGGCTTTGCCCTTGAAATGTTTACCTTCGATGACATTTTCTTTGTATATGGTGGCCAATTTAAAGATGAGTTAAGCTCTTGAGACGAATTACTATTCCACATTCCAATCTCTACATCCTCTTCCTCTTCCCAGCCAGTGGGGCGATTTCCAGGCAATGGCATATCATCACCACACCAGCCATCTTGCATAGATTTTGGCCCTGATTGTGGATTTGTGATATAAAGAGAAACATACTTTAATAAAATAATTCCTTCTGGAGAATAAGCATACATTAAAAATTGGGTAGAGAACCTAAGAAAACACACACGCACACACTTATTTCCCTTCCTGCATCTGCACAGAAGGAATATATGTTTTATACTGAGTTAAAAGTTCCACGAAAAAGAATACATTCTTGGCCGGGCACGGTGGCTCACGCCTGTAATCCCAGCACTTTGGGAGGCCGAGACAGGCGGATCACGAGGTCAGGAGATCGAGACCATCCTGGCTAACACGGTGAAACCTTGTCTCTACTAAAAATACAAAAAATTAGCTGGGCGTCGTGGCGGGCACCTGTAGTCCCAGCTACTCGGGAGTTCGGAGGCTGAGGCAGGAGAATGGCGTGAACCCTGGAGGCAGAGCTTGCAGTGAGCCGAGATCGCGCCACTACACTCCAGCTTGGGCAACAGAGCGAGACTCCGTCTCAAAAAAAAAAAAAAAGAAAAAGAAAAAGAACATATTCTTATTTTAAAATCTAATAAAACTCCTCCATGCCTTTAACAAATCATGGTTCTTGAACATGGACAATGGTAGCACTCTTGTTTGTACCCACTTAATAATCTGCATAGTGACACACAGGACGAAGATGATGAATGAAATTTGAAATAATCAGTTTTTGTATATATTTTCAGGGAGAATGGCCAAAGAGTATTTCAAAGTCATAAGCAGAAAGCATCTTATCTTCACACATGGCCCTTGGGATTCCTATAGGGTATCTTTTACATAACCTATAGGATAATGACAATGTTAATTTGAATCTTGGGTCTTTTCTGAACTATGCTAATTGTCTGTAACTTTCAGGGAATCATCTGACAGTCTGAATATGTGTCCTCATGGCTACACTATTTAGCCTCTCAGGCTGGATGGCATGAAAGTTGCTAGTAGACTCTTCCTAGATAACCTAATTTGGTAAATTATAATTTAGATTTGATGAAGTATATGCAAATTAACAGTTACAATTCTAAGAAATATGAGAAAAGAGGAAAATTCAGAAAGAGAATAAACCATGTTACAAAATCAAAGAGCAAAATACTGAACATCATCTATCGTGCCATATTATGAGATTATAAATAACACAGAAACCTTATCTAATTATTTAATTATAGTCAGTGAGTGATCACCACTGCTACACAACAGCTACCAGGCATTGTCAATAACTTACCAGATTTGCTTAATGCTTGTGGACCAACAGAGCTGGAGCCCCACGTGGATGTGCTGGATGCCGCAGCAATGGGTTCCCCCCAGCTGGGACCACTGTCTATGGGCTTACCCCATGCTGAAGTACCATTATCCACAGTTGTGGCTGGAGTAGAAGGCTCCCCCCAGGGCTCACCCCAGCCTTTAGAAAGTGTGGGAAAAGAAGTCATCAGCATAGAAGGTAAGGAGGTGCAGTGGAATAAGGGACAATAAAGAATACTTAGGGACCAAGGATGAAGAACCTCACGTTTATGTACAGAATAATGATACTGTGATAGGCAAAAAGATGGCATCGTTTTATGTTTAAAAAAAAAAAAAAAAAAGACAAACTATTTCCCATTAATATAACTATAAGGTGAGAATTTTTTAAACTTTTTTCATAATTACCCTCTAGGCCTAGAGCTGATTTTTGCATAGTTATGGGAAACCACTCTCCTTTGAGCATCAATTTAATTCCTGAAAAAGTCAAGTCATTCTAAACCGAACCTTGTGAATTGGAGCAGGTGATAAGCTGGGTGACAGTGTATGTATAACATTTGTACCAGCTGGGTACAGTGGCTGATGCCTGTAATCCCAGCACTCTGGGAGGCCGAGGCAGGTGGATCAGCTGAGGTCAGGATTTTGAGACCAGCCTGGGCAACATGGCAAAACCTGGTCTCTACTAAAAATACAAAGATTAGCTGGGCATAGTGGCACACACCTGTAGTCCCAGCTACTCAGGAAGCTGAGACAGGAGAATTGCTTGAACCTGGGAGGTGGAGGCTGCAGTGAGCCAAGATCATGCCACTGCACTCCAGCCTAGGTGACAGAGCAAGACTCCATCTCCCCCCACCCAAAAAAAAAAAAATTGTGGCACAAGTGTACCCCTTCCACACCACATACACTGGAAAAACAATGTACTACCCAGCTAACAATAATGGGTCACCTACTTTTTACACATGCTGAACAATCCTTATTTTAAAATCTGAAATATTAGGCTGAGGTTGTCCAAAGCAAAAAAAACAACAACAACAACAAAAAAAAAACACCACCACCACAACAAAAACAAAGCCATAAACGTTTCATTAGGAAAAAATAAAAGCCAATAGGCTTCATCTTAGATACATACTTCTTCCTTTTAAGAATCAAACCTAAATACAACAAACTATACTTAGACTGAAAAAAAAAAAATTAGGCGCCGAAAAGTTAGCTCATGAAAGCACTCCCATATCCACTTCCAATGAGACTATTAAGTCAATAAAACTTTTATTAACAAAGACAATGTAGCCAATCACACTTAATGAAAATGTTGTTGGGATAATTTGCAGAGACAGGAATTAGTTCATTGTAAGAGAGGAAAGTAAGGATATACTAGAAAGGTATTATCAAACATTTTTAATACACAAACATATATACTGTATCTAAGTAGAGTTGGATTTCTCACCTACTTAAAAAAAATCCCTTCTAGAGCCAAATATAGTACCTAATGTTTAGATAGTACTGTATTTATGAGATACTTGTTTTATTTCTGGAGATATTTTAGTCAAATAATAAAACCACAAGGACTAACTCAAAACAACTTAGAGAAGTGTACAGCATTTCCACTTGACCGCCCTTGTCCAATTCACCTTCTGTTGCATTTCTAATAGAGAATGAAGTGTGCAGGACTCAAACAACACTGCCAAAAGTGGAGCTCTGTTCTCTGATGGTAAACATCACCCCTATAATTTTCTTCAAGCTGCTTCTGGATTACAGTAAGGAACAGCCTTTGTGTACATATCCAAGCACTTTGTTATACAAATCTTATAATAACAGTAAGTTAAAATAAGTCTTGATTTCATAAAATAGAAACTTACCAGAGCCACTGCTTGCCTCTTTGTTTGAGATGGCACTTGCAGGCGTTAGCAGCTGATGTACCTGTGCTTGCTGGTCTGAACGGCTGTTGCCATTTGGGACGTTTTTGTTCCACATGTTCACATTTTTGTAGTTGTATTTGCTTGGATCTCCCCAAGCTGAAGTTCCATCATCAATCTCCATTTTGCGACGTATAGATTCTGGGGATGGTTCCTCCCAGCCTGTGGGTTCTTCTTCTTTTGTTGGGGCTGGTATAGGTCCCCCCAGCCAGCCTGTACCAGGAGGTTTGCCTGTAGCTGGTGGGATTCCCCAAGATCCAACAATGTCTTGTTGCTTGTTCCAGTCTGGAGAACTGACTGGCTTTGACGAATCTCCCCAACCTAGAGACTGATTAGACTTTGGAGGGTCTCCCCATCCCTGGGAAGGAGTAGGTTTAGAAGATTCATCCCATCCTGATGAATTATTTGGATTTATGTTGTTTCCCCAAGTAAAAGAACTAGTTTTACCAAGTTCGTTCCAACCGGAAACGGACCTGTCGCTGTCACTACCTCCTGAGCTGGATTTCTTATTGGCCTCACCCCAATGGTTACTCCTTGAAGTTTCTCCCCAGTTATCACTGGCAGAAACAGACCACCCTTGGCTTGATTTCTGTCCATCACCCCATCCCTGTTTGTTCTTTTGCGAGTCATTCCATGCAGCCTTCTCCTCTTTGCAATTCCCCCACTGATTGCTCTTGACCATTCCTGTAGCAGCAGAATCATCTTCCCACCCCCCCTGGCAGTTTGAGCCTTTGGAATCTCCCCACCTCAGAGCAGGTTTGGGATCGCCCCACCCTGATACAGATGAGGTATCATTACTATTAGGGCTAGTCTTATCTATACATGCCCCTGAGTTAAAAGTCTGTGTTGCAGAGCTTCCCCAGGCCTCTGTCCCATTGTCAGTCTTTCGTTCCCCTCTAGGTGATGTTTCTGTATCCCAGGCAGTATTCTGCTTAATAGGAGTCTGTCCCCAACCAGAGTTGGACAGGACACGTGGATCTAAGTCAGTTCTGTTTACAATGCTTTGGAGTAATGTGTGCTGATCAATTTTTCTTCTGTCTCTACTCTGACTTTCTCCAGTTCCTTTTTCCTCAAGGCGTCCAGTGCTTTCTGTACTACCATCGCTCTCCACTGTAGCTCCTGTTTTGGCCCACACACTGCTTTGCTCATTTGTCTGAGATGTGGCAGAACCCTGATCCTCTTCCTCAGTAGATTTCCATCCATTTGTAAACTTCTTACCATTGCCATTTGCACTGTCATTGGAATGCTGATTGCTAGGCAGTTTGTTCCACTCACCGCTGGGTAAATTAGTGCCAGTGTTTTGTGCAGGGGTTCCCCATCCTCTTCGACTTCCTCCAGAATTCGCGCCATTTCCACTTCCCCATGATGCACTCTGGGAATTTGCTGCACCAGATTCCCACACACCACCTCCTTTGTTTGTGTTAACTTGAAAGTTAGTGCCCATAGGCCCATTTACGCCAGGCTGCATTAGAGTTGCATTCACAGTGTCACCATTAGCTTGGCCATTAGGGCCTGAACATTTGTCTCCAGAGTAATTAGAACCATAGGCACCCCATGTAGTACCATAAGAGCCTCCACTTTTTGACTCTCCATTGCTAAGGTGAGAACGGGAAGTGCCATTCATACCTGATGGAGCCTGCATCTGAGGATGATTCATTGTGCTCACACGCCAGGCCCCTGTATTACTACTAGGCAGCTCATTATTCTGCACTGAACCGGAGTTTGGTAAACTAGAGGTCATAAAGTTAGTAGTGTTATTTGGTCCAGTCATTTCAGTGGTAATATTCTGAGGTTGACCACTGAATGAAACCTTCTGTGTACCACTTACTTCAGATTCACAAGTTTCCTGAAGGCTTCCCCAGGTACCATGGGTAGAACCACCACTCACTTTAGAGTTAATACTCTGATTGTTAGGCATCTGGCCTATAGTACTGCACTGAATATTGATGCCAGAACTACCACTCCCTACAGGCCCTTTTAGGGCAAGTCCATTGTTCTCTAATACTGGCCAGGCACCATGGTTGCTAGCTGAATTCAAAGTGCTTGGATTTAACCCTCCATTTGATGAAGAACTTACAGTGCCCCAAGCATTCATTCTATTGTTGCTACTTTCAGATTTGCTTTCAGGAGCATCCACAGAGACCTGACATGTGCTTATTATGGCTCCATGGGAAAAACCCCATGGCCCAGTACTACTTCCATGGCCCACATTATTGCTGCTGCTACCAACTACAAACTTGTTTTGGGAACCAAGTCCAGTGCTATTCCGAAGGCCATCTTTTTCACCACCTGTGTTCCCTGAAGCCATGATAGTGATGTTTCTTTCCGACTCAGAACTGGAGGCAGAATCAGCATCCATACATTCTGAAGCCAACTCCGGATCACTGCCAGGGACTGAGGGCCATGCTTCTTTTTCCGACAAGTCACTTACAACAGCATTCTTACAGTTTGTGCTAGAATCGCTTGTAGAAGACACAAGTCCCCGCTGGGAATTTTCATAATGGGATCCTGAAGTACTGTGGTTTATATCTAGGATAAAGGAGAAGTACAACTATTTATAAAAAGTGTTAGGCCATTTCAAAATGACACTAAAATTTAAGAAAAACGACGAATATGTTATAAATAAATGTGGCTCCTCAAATTTAACAACGGTAGAATGGTTACAAGGGCACTGGTTATCTTCTAGCCACCAACTTTCCATGTTCAACTGATATTATCCTAAGATCCTAGAGGACACAACAGCCCCTTGATAAATACTTGCTGAATGAATACACTGTTAACATATCAGCAAATAAAAGAATTTTGGAGTCAAGAAGGTCTAGGAGGCAGCTACACATTAGGATAACAGAACAACCCAGGCGTAGAAGCCTGACATGGAAAGATGGGTAAGGAGAAGTGAATAGCCAAAATTTGATAAAATGTATCAGAAATATTTTTCTACCCTCTGTTTTCTACTATAGCTTTTCCAAACAACTGTTTTGGGTATTGTAACAAGTTTATAATTTTTTTTTTTTTTTTTTTTTTTTTGAGACGGAGTCGCGCTCTGTGCCCAGGCTGGAGTGCAGTGGTGCGATCTCGGCTCACTGCAAGCTCCGCCTCCCGGGTTCATGCCATTCTCCTGCCTCAGCCTCCCTAGTAGCTGGGACTACAGGCGCCGCTATCACGTCCGGCTAATTTTTTTTTTTTTGTATTTTTAGTAGAGACGGGGTTTCATCGTGTTAGCCAGGATGGTCTCCATCTCCTGACCTCGTGATCTGCCCGCCTCGGCCTCCCAAAGTGCTGGGATTACAGGCGTGAGCCACTGCACCCAGCCACAAGTTTATAAAAATTTTTAAGAATGGTAAGAATTTGAAAGCTTTTATCATTACATTCCATTTCATTAGTATCCATCTTCAACCTGAAATATTACATCCAAGTAACAGTATTTTCAGTTCAACTTCCTCTCATAAAATTTTCTTAACTTACCTTCCTAACCACATTTATATAAAAGGACAGAAAAGTAATGGTTGTTATGCTGAAGATCACAGAATTATTATGATCTCAAAAAATCAACTGCTGACACTGGAGCCATTTGATGACCAGTCATACAATCCTATAATCTTGGACTTCCTGCTATGTATTACTATCTAGCTATTTTACCACAGGTAGGGTGGTTCTAGTGCTTCTGATAGTTCCCCATACTCTTAACTCTCACTTGGTTTAAGGATCTGGTAGGTAGACATTCCTCAGAGGCATTAACCTGCATAAGCCATGTGCATTTCGACTGCCTTGAGGGGCAGGTTATATTGCAGTTTTCTACTAAAGTACCAATCAGAATCACATGTAGTGTTTTTAAATATACATGTTCAAGGCAATGTCCCAGACCTAATGAGCCAACCTTCAGGGGTTGTAGGCCTAGGAGATAAACAGAAGTCACTATTAAGGTGTTTGCTAAAATGGAAAATCAGATTCAATTTGCATCATTTTCTCTCAAAGCACAATCATTAAGCAGCAAAAGATGATGAGCTGGAAAGAGTCTGGAAAAGTGAGTGGAGAGAGACCAGAAATGATATAAATTCATCAAATAACATACTTTAAAGTTCCATAGATGACTCTAATTTCCACTCCCTGTTTAAGAATCATTTCTTTAATGATTCCTAAAGCTGCCAAAGAAGATTTGCTATCTTTCAGTGCCCATGAGGAGAATTTCTCATGAAATAAAGGGTAACAGCACTGGGTATAAGCAAATCAACACACTAACATCTGCACCGGCACCATCAACAAATGTTTTGCATTCAGGACTATGTCTGACAACTTTCTGTGCACTTTTATCACCGAATCCTTATAGCTACCCTAGAGGATAGGCATTACCTTCACTTGCAGATGACAAAACTGAGGTTCACAGGTTAATTTATGGAAAATTAAGTGAGAAAGGCAGGATTCATCAGAATCCTTCATAAAGCAAGGTGCCTAAGAATGTAGACAGGACTCTAGAGACACCCAGATTCAAGTCTGAACTCTGTATGACCAAATCTGCAAAACCAGAATATAAACAATACTTCTTAACCTGGTTCTTTTGTTAATTGTATCATATGTAAAACATTAAGCTCAGTGCTGGCTGCAAATAAGTGCCTCGTTAGGGTCAATCTGACATAGTGATTAACAGCACAGATTGGGTAGCCAGAATGCGTGGGTTTAAGAGACACTCCTACCATTTACTAGCTGTGTGACCACGGTAAGATCCTCAATCTCTGTGCCTAGTTTCATCTCTGAAGTAGAAATAGTATTAGTACCAGGCCAGGCACAGTGGCTCACCCCTGTAATCCCAGCACTTTGGGAGGCCAAGGTGGGTGGATCGCGAGGTCTGGAGTTCGAGACCATCCTGGCCAACATGGTGAAACCCTGTCTCTACTAAAACTACAAAAAATGAGCCGGATGTAGTGGCGGGCCCCTGTAGTCCCAGCTACTCGCGAGGCTGAGGCAGGAGAATTGCTTGAACCGCGGAGGCGGCGGAAGTTGTTGCAGTGAGCCGAGATGGTGCCACTGCACTCCAGCCTAACGACAGAGTGAGACTCTGTCTCCAAAAAAAAAAAAAAAAAAAAAAAAGAAACAGTATTAGTATCAATCTCACACAACTGTGGTGTGGATTATTAAAACTGTACTGGCCAGGCGCGGTGGCTCACGCCTATAATCCCAGCACTTTAGGGGGCCAAGGTAGGTGGATCACGAAGTCAGGCGATGTTAATCATCCTGGCTAACATGGTGAAACCCCGTCTCTACTAAAAATACAAAAAAATTAGCCGGGTGTGGTGGTGGGTGCCTGCAGTCCCAGCTACTCAGGAGGCTGAGGCACAATGGCGTGAACCTGGGAGGCAGAGCTTGCAGTGAGCCAAGATCGCCCCACTGCACTCCAGCCTGGGCAATAGAGCATGGCTCTGTCTCAAAAAAAAAAAAAAAAAAAAAGGTACTCTGTACTATATCTGATCCATATTAGGTGCTTAATAAATGAGGTCTATTATCACTGATAAATGCATGCTAAGGATTATCATCTTTTAGTCCTATCTCCAAAGCATGTTTTTCATTCCACGACGTCTCCCTTATGAAGAACAAAGTGAGAAATCATATAACTTCCTTACTTAAAATTTCCACTTAGATACCTGAATATTCTACCTTAGATACCTTATCTTAGATACCTCAGATATTCTGAAAGCAGAATCTTCTAATTCTGGATTTACACTCCAACAGAGTGTAAATTCCTCTCCTCCCAAAGGGGGCAAAAACTGCTTCTTTAAAAGTTTTTCTCATCTCAGTAAGTTTCCTAAAACCTAGAATTTATCTTCTATTCCTCCCTGTGCACAGCACATCCAAAACAACATCAAGTCCAAAATCTATGTACCTTTTCTCCAAATCTAAGACAGTCCAGCCCTTGTCACTTTCTTTCCCTGGACCACTGCAAACGTTATTTCTGCTGCCACTATTTGCATGCATAAGAGAGAGTGTGTGTGTGTGTGTGTGTGTGTGTGTGTGGGGCCACTTTCATAAAGCAGGAGTAAGAAAACAAGATTGGCCATCGAAAACAAAACTACCCAAATGGAAAATAAGAAATGGATCCAGAATTCAAGAGTGAAACACCACAAGCATTCCCATAATGACAAGAAAAAGACAAAAATACTTGTCATCAATACTACTATTCGGTCTAGTGTTAGAACTACTAACTGATAAAATATGACTCAAAAATGGGAGGTAAAGATAATAGAATAGAGGTAAAAAAGATCAACATGAAAAAACAATTTCCTTTCTACATGCCAAAAATAATCCAGGAGAAAATGTTGATGGGGAAAGATCTTAATCATTAAGAGCCATAAAGTAACTGGAATAAAGCTAGCAAAAATATTTAAAGTCGTATATGATTATATTTTATTGCAGGCCATAGAAGACACTTGAAAGTAAAGACACTTGTTACTGGATATGAAGATGTAACAATGCTCTAAGTTTAATTCAATTATAAGAAATTGTTAACAAGAGTCTGTAAAAATGATTATAAGTGATTTAAAAATCTTGTAAAGTAAATGGGAGAGTAACCCTCTAAAAGATTTCAAAAAGAAGAGGTTGTGAAGAAGAGAATCTGCATTATCAGGAAATAGTTGAACAGCACTGCACTGCCAGACAGCACTTTGACTGAACAGAAAAAGTAACCCAGAAACAGATCCAAGTATATGTCAAAGATACTATTTCAAGGATTAGCATTTTACATCAGTGGGGAAAGGGAATATTCAGTACTTGAAAACTTTTTAAAATGAGATAATATATTTTTAAAAATCCCAAATGATTAAAACATTAAAAGATGAAACCATGAAGCTATCAATGAATAAGTATTTTTTATACATAAACCATATGTGACAGATTTCACTGTTAATGTTAGAATACATCAAAAGTAAAGCAAAAAAGCAAACACCTGAATATATTCTGGAAATGAGTTCTATCACCTTTAATGTTAGTGAAAAACGTTCTCAGATTCTGGTCATGACCTGGTTTGGTGGCTAAGTTTGTCTTTTAAAATATTATTAACTAAAATCCCATTTTTAATCTAGAAGCCACTTGATCAAAACCTAAATTAAAGATTATTTTAAAAATTGGGTTACCAATGGTGAGTTACAAGGCATTCTGGGTTATAAAAAAGGTTTTAGTTTAGAAAAAAAAATTCGTTTGGCATTTTAGCTCATGCCTATAATCCCAGCACTTTGGTAGGCCGAGGCGGCAGTACTGGTTGGGTCCAGGAGTGAGACCATCCTGGGCAACCTAGCAACACCCCATCTCTACAAAAAATAAAAAAATCAGCTGGGCGTGGTGGCATACACCTGGAGTCCCAGCTCCTTGAGAGGCTGAGGCAGAAGGATCGCTTGAGCCTGGGAGGTTGAGGCTGTATTGAGTTGTGACTATGCCACTGCACTCAGCCCAGGTGACAGAGCTAGAGTCTGTCTCAAAATGAATAAATAAATAAAAATAAATAAAAGGTGTTGGCTGGGCACAGTGGCTCACTCCTGTAATCT